AGAACGCATAGGAGGAAATATCATCCGCCTCAAGAGAAATATTTTCTACCACTTTCTTTTTGCCAGCCTACTTTCCTCCAAATCTTTTAATTTTTTTTAAAGAGGCGTAAACTTCTAAATCATTAGAACCTAAAGAAACTCCTATTAAACTAGTTGACTGCAGTAACAAAGAATTATCGAAGGAATTAAAAGAGAGGGCTGCGCTCTCTTTACCTTTAAATGAAGTGGTATCTAAGTTCCGCCGCTTTCATCGCCAAGCTGCTTTCTCCAAAGAGTCTTGGTGTGAAATAGACGCAGTCCTCTTGCTAGATCTTGCCGGTGACACCGTCCCCTCACACAACCCCTTTTTCTTGTTGATAATTCCTCGCTTCTTTTTTTGTCTTGCGTAACACTTGCTTTCCATCGTCTTGTGCCATCTCAGACAAAAGCCGCTTTGTGATAATACGACCACAGTGCTTAGCCGAGCCTCCTGTGGTCACTACCTCAAATTATTTAACTTCAACATTTTCTAAATGTTCACCGAGCCCCAATGCCGTGTGGCTCACTAGGTGCTATCAATCATTTTTATTTTTCTTTTCTTCTGCTCCTCTTGATTACCTCCTAATTTATTCCCATCATGATCCATATCCTCTGGGTCTTCCTCTTCCGGGTCTTTGTCCTCGCCCATGGTAGAGTCCATGTCAATGACATAAGGCTCACCATCGACCAAATCTCTCTCAACCTTGAACTGTAGCTCATAAACAAAGTCCCCAATAACAACATCCACAAAGTTGGGGATAATATCGTGGTCCAAAGACTTGCTACCTTCAATCTACATCTACCATGCTTTTTGTGAATTTTGTATCCACCGCTTTAGGAACACCTGAATAGTACCAATTGCCCGAGATAATAGGAAATTCTCTCGAGCTCCAAAGGAATACCCTGAATTGGACCCAAACTTTCTCAATCTCATATTTATAAACATCATTATCAAGACCCTTTTCAAACCTGATTTTTGGCAAATACCGATTTAGTATCCATCGGGCCCCAATTCACCATGTGATTTAGCACTTCGTAAGAAGGGAAATTAGTAGTAAAAGCATTAGTGCCCTTTAGATTAATGACCCAACTGTGTCTCGGTAGTAGCTTGTCAAGTTCCACTACCAACCGATCAAAGAAGAAGGAACCCTCCAACACACGCACTACACAAATGGAAGTATCAACAAAAGTTACTTTAGGAGTATCAATCACAGGTATGAAATAGAAGCCCAGACCTTCTACAGCATGGCCACAAGGAATAGCAGTAGATTGCAAATTTTTCAAATTAGGACATATTTTTTTCACATGATCACCAAGACAAATCTCGCAACTAAGAATTGTAGTACAAGTAGCAATTGTATGTCCTTTTGTGTGGCATCGGTAACAATATGGTTTTCCTTTGTTTTTTTGATTAGCACCTCTCAGAGAAGACTCAAGAACATCTAAAGTAGGGTTTTGGGGAGCAAGTGTTCACCTTCCTTGTTTCAATAGCAAAAAACTTGCCCTCCCCGGCTCTTCTCTGCTCTGTAGGCACAATTGTCTGCTGAGGTAGTCAGCTGCCGGGTTCTCCTCCATCTGATGTTGGACAGCGTTGAACAAAGATTTGGAGCCCCGCCTGACCTGATGGTTCGCCTATTGCCCACCGGCTAGCTTGATGGTGCGATACCGGTGGTGGTCGAGCACCACCGGTCATGCACCATCATCTGCTGTCGAGCACCGGCAGGCTGGTACGCGGCACCCGCAGCAAGGCCTCCAACAGGCGGTTGGAGCGCTGCATTGCCCACGCCGAAGCCACCCGTGGCCGACTGGAAAACAAAGGGCGCTTTCTCCCGGTTGTCCTCCGACTGCAGGCGCGCGGGCGATCGGTAGAACCGTTATTACCAAATGACATGACCACCAGGCCCAAAACCGCCTCGCTGAACGCGGGCGTGACCATGGGCACCGGCGTTGGGATGGCCACCGTGAAAACCCGGCGCCCCATGGTGATGGCCATGATTTCCCCAGCCACGACCACCTCTATGATTGCGACCTCCACCGCGATTCCACCCACCACGACCATGGTTGTGATATCCACCATGATAACGACCATGGTAGCCAAAACCACCATGTCCGCTCGATCATCAAATCCACCATGTTCACGACCACGCCCCGGCGACCTCGGCCACTTGACCGAAAACCCTCTACCACGATGGCCACCACCTCCGCCTCAAAACCCCGGATCAAATCCTAGGTTGAAGCCCGTGTTGAAAGCAGCGGGCACCTCCACCACGTGCACCATGGTTGTCGTAGCCTCCCTCGATTCGCCATAACCTTCCCCTCAAGCACCACCTCGGCAAAGGTTCTTTTTCGCCCATGGCGGTCGACCTTTTCCCCGTGGCGGCCGTGGGTTCTAGGTTTTGTTCCAGCCTCCTTGCAAAAAAAACACAGCCCACGGGTGGGCCTAAAATATTTTCCTGTGCCCAATTTGTACCTTCTCTCGAATCCCCTGGTAAGCCTTGTTCCATATTCACTCCCTCTCGAGACCGATCCAGCTTACTGTCTTACAGCTGTGATGCCGTCATGCAGGAGATGGACCGGTAGACAGAGGCGGAAAATTAGGATCACGGCACTGGGGTTCCTCCAATTCGAATTTTTTTGAAACTCGATCCTTCTTCCCCGAGACCATGAAGCCCACCGGCGAACTCACCGATGACCTCACCGTCTGGGTTTACACCGCTGGTACGTCGCCTTGGCAACACAGTCCCCTAGAGTTCTCGGAGGAGAAATCCTAGGAGCGGGTAGAGGGCCTTGCCATGGTTTCCCGGCACCCTTACGTTGCACAAGATTGGACACCAGTTTGAGAGGAGCACGGCGATCTGCCGAGGTTTTACCTGATCCAAGTGCTTCTTCTGCCCTAAAGAGGTCTTCCACGGTGTAGCCCGCGGCGATTGCCTCCTCAACGAGCTCCGGCGTTGAGATTTCAATGTTGCCGTCGTCCGCCGAGAACCCCACTGCGACTGCCGGTACTGAAGTCGGCGATGAACAATGATCTCGCATCGATTGATTCATCGAATCAATCGGGCGGACGGCCGTAACTTGGAGACGAAATCGGCGCCATGGATCGGATTCGGTTTACGCTCAACACCGCCGCCAACTTGATGATCCGCGACAAGGCATCACGTCCTTCTGATCGGCGCTGCGCCACATCCTCGATGATCTCCTTCTCGCTGGCGACGTAGTCGTTGACCTCCTTACTCCGAGGGAGCAAGTTCTTCGTGATCGCCAGCGCCAGGGTAAGGTGCCTTCTCCGTGATTTACACATGTCCCGTCGCCGGAAAAGGACCACGCTGCCCCCACCATCCTTCACCGACGAAGCTTGCGCCACCGACGACCACCGACCTCTCCTTAGCCCCGCAAGGAGACCTCGCCCACTCTCCGTAAACTCGCTTGATCACCGGCGGCGACCACTGCCTTCCGGATCGCCACCGGATTCTCCCTCAACGATCATATTTTTGGTTGCCTTTGAACATCGTACTTAAATATACATTATGTTTAGATACATATTAAAATTAATGTATTTAGAAAAGTCAAAAGTCTTATAATTTGAAATGGAGAGGGTAGTTTTCATATCATGTCACATCATATGGAAATCACTCTGGAAATTAGTGTTCTCAGTGCACTTAGGGTCTGTTTGGATCATCTAAAACTAAAGTTTATAGATGGACTAAAGTTTAATCCAAGATACATAGACTAAAAGCAAGTAGCTTTCTTATATAGACTCATATAATAGTCCATATCAGCTCACATTTGTCAGTTAATGAACTAATTGCTAGTTGGGTTGAAAACTAAAAACTAGTCCACTTTTAGGTGAGATTTAACTACTGGAGCAGAAGATTAAAGTTCAAGTTGTTTCGTATACAAGTCAAAGTTCAAAGTAGAGTTCTGCCATTAGTCTTGAGTATATATGTTCGTATCAGTAATCAGTGCAAGTTTGTTTAGGTCTCTCTGGCAATGCAAATTGCTGTTGTTGCTGTCCGGTGGTTGGCTTGGCTCTGTGGCAAACAGTGAATCTTATTTGATGAAATAGCGTGTTGACTCTTTTTAGGCCATATAATGGTGACGTGCCCCTGTTTTTGAGTTTCTTATTGGCACTAAGTTAAAAGTTTGCATGTTAATGACCTTCGAAAGCATCAAAAGGTGAGAGGTTATTTTTGAAGGGAAACTATGCGTTTTTGGGACCTTGTGCTCCGTGGTTAGAACCTCTAAGGGACCCAACGGTTTGGACTTGAGTTGATTGAAAAAAGACATCCAACTTTGACAACAACGACGTTCAGCAGAATATATGACCCATGCTCCTTTTAGACTCTTTAAATTCCATGGGTGGCGTAGCTACCAAAATCAATGCTGCGATATCTAGCTCGTTCTCTTCCTGATTTAGAATGATTGCTCGATCTTAAGGCCCCGTTCACTTCGCTGAAAAAATAAGCCAAAACACTGTTCCGACTGATTTGTTGTGAGAGAAAAACATTGTTCCGGCTGAAAAAGACGGATTATAAGAGAAGTGTACTTTAATTATTTCTTCTGTTCTGGGGTATACCCTATGAAGAGCTGCTGCTGCTGCTGGAACATGTTCCTTTGAAGCAACAGCTTGGTCAGATCACGCATAGATTCTGACAATGACCTGAAAAGGATTCTTCATCAGCTATGAAATGCTGTGGTTGTGTAGGCTGACATCTTAGACCATGTTCGCTTCGCTGAAAAAACAAACTGAAACACTATTTCGACTGATTGTTATGAGAGAAAAATATTGTTCCGACTGAAAAAAAAAAACCGAAAAAAACGGATTATAAGAGAAGCGAACAGGGCCTTAACCTTGAAGAAAGGAGATTGATTGTTTGCAAGGCATGCAATTCAAGCTGCTTGGTGCAGTGCATTTCATTTCATCATGTTAAAAGACCCCCAAAATCCAACGATCGAATAGGGAATCCAGTTCATCTGTGCAGATGAGCGCCAAGATCAATGGGGCAGCAGCAGCTGCTGCATTTCTGCTCTTCTACACTCACCTCTACTTCCCAACCACTGCTCATCTCTACTCCTCAACCACTCCATTGCTTGCAGCCCTCGTTAATCTTACAACGCCTTCCCTTCCATTATATCCACTTTCGGTTGATTCCACCTCTACCCATCATCAGTATGACTGTAAATACAACCCGCTATGCGATGACTTCCCACCGGATTTCCCCCCGCCCGACACATCAGCAGTGTCCATCTTCTGTGTTGACCCCAATGGCTGTTGTGAATTCACAACCGTGCAGGCGGCGGTCGATGCAGTTCCAAACCACAGCAGCAAGAGGAATGTTGTGTGGATCAACAAGGGCATCTACTTGTAAGCAGTTCTCCTTGCTCAGGCTTTTAGATAGAGATTTCCTTCCCAGAATTCAGCATTGCGCTGTTACTGAGTGTACTGCTACTGAAGCTGCAGTATTGTTGCAGTGAGAAGGTGACAGTCCCAGCATCCAAGCCCAATATCACATTCCAAGGGCAGGGGTTCGACCTGACAGCGATCGCGTGGAACGATACTGCCAAATCAGCGAACGGCACATTCTATAGCGCCTCAGTCTCTGTTTTCGCATCAGGATTCATTGCGAAGAACATAAGCTTCATTGTAACTACCTAGATGCTGCACAATGTATTCAGCTAGGTTGGAGGCTTCACCTTGGGTTATATTGACAAATCTCTTGATCATTTGACACCAGAATGTAGCACCAATCCCAAGGCCTGGCGCTGTCGATGCACAGGCAGTGGCGATCAGGATCAATGGTGACCAAGCAGCATTCTGGGGTTGTGGCTTCTTTGGAGCGCAAGACACACTCCATGATGACAGAGGCCGGCATTACTTCAAGGAATGTTTCATCCATGGCTCTATTGACTTTATCTTTGGAGATGCTAGGTCACTCTATGAAGTGAGTGAAGAAATACTTAAATGGATTGCAAAATAATGTATTGAAGTTACCAACTGCTCTCTTACCTTTTTGCTCTCCAGAATTGCAGATTGATATCCATTGCAGATCCAGTGCCTTCAGGGCAAAGATCAATTACTGGTTCAGTCACTGCACATGCCCGGGTATCAGAAAATGACAACACTGGCTACTCATTTGTCAATTGTAGCATAGGTGGCACTGGTTGGATATGGCTTGGACGAGCATGGAGACCATATTCTCGGGTCGTCTTTGCCTACACGTCAATGTCAGACATCATAGCTTCTGAAGGATGGAATGACTGGAATGATCACACAAGAGATCAGTATGCGTCCTCCAATGTTAGTTTTTATTCTTATCTGCAAAACAGAAAGTACATTGACATCAGCTTTTGTGCAATTTGAATTTTCAGGACTGTATTTTATGGAGAGTACAAGTGTACAGGTGATGGTGCAAACCTGGCAGATAGAGTGCCTTATGCTCAGAAGCTTAGTGATGTGCAAGTGTTACCTTACCTAAACACATCTTTCATTGATGGAGATCAATGGTTGAAACCATACACTGACTCACTAATATCTGATTGAAGCAATTTTAGGTAAAGAGCTGGGTCACAGACTTGAAACAGGGAAAATAGAACACCTCATTGTTTGATTTTTCTCATATCATAGTTCATAGAATCAAGAATTGCAATTGTGCAAAGATAATAAATATTTGGTACATATGGTGTTTTCAACAAATATTACACAAAAGCATGTCATAATCTACATTTGAACAGCACATGAGAATGCAATACGCATTAATGCTAGGGGGAGAAAGGAGGCAACTTCAGGCGCTTGCATTACAATATTTGATCCTTGCATAACATACAATAGTTGACTAATATCAACATCCTATTTGCAAGAGTAGTTATGTTGTAATCAAAATTGGGCAGATCTCATCTTCCTGTATTCAGATTGCTTCCAACAACTACTATGCCTAGAATGAAATCTCACTTGGTGCATGGAATGTTCTTCCTCTGCATATGGCTTCCAGATTCTCTCCAGCATAAGAGCAAAGCGGAGAAACTTCAACTCCTGGAAGTACAGGCAATGTTTTAACAACAATCAATGAGTTCCTATCTAAAATTCTTACTTTGTTGACAGATTCCAAAACACATATACTAGGGCTGCAATTACCTGTCATGTACAAGGGCACAGAATGAGTCAAGAAGCCACCTGCAGCAACCACCCATCGGCTATGAAGCCAAGCAGCATTAATCTGGCACTATCAGGAGTGTCATAAGTTGCACCATTAGCATTCTTCACTGGAGCAAATTCCTCCTCACGCAAAAAACCTGTAAATTTAGGTGTGAACAAGCTCTGATAAAATATTTCCAAGTGATAACTACTATGTGCTTTCAGAAATGAGATTAAGAACAACACGGCTTTATTTTGAGCAATAGTTCATAAGAAATCAAACCTCAAAAAGTGCTGTTGAAGGAGAATAGTTGAACACATCAAATATAAATTGTTCAAGCTTTAAGCCTGATGTGTACCCATGGACTGAAGGAATTCTCTTCTCCGCTAGATGGTAACTGCACACAAACAATGGATAAAATTGTAAGCCAACATTCTATTATTAATTGTTGGTTTAAGATCGACAGAAATTACAGGTTCTCCAAAAAAATGCAGCAATTACATTATATATTAAATAAAGGATTAATGCAACATGAATGGATAAAGTGCAAGAATAAGGGGGAAAAAAGGAATACTCACATGCTATCCTTTTCAAGACTGTTTGTCACTTGGTTCAGAAAATCCAAAGTGAACATATGCAAGCAGACCTATGAAATAAAAGAAATACACAATTGTTGGTGCATATATATTGGGGGAGGGGAGGGGTGTAGGAATTATACATTGCTCCAGCAATAACGAAGGCGGCCAGTAGTTTGATTGATTTCAGTTGTCATAGCTGCATCCATTTCACTGTATTCAACTACAGAGAGGGGTCCACCCTTTCCACGCTGAACAAATACTCCAACTTTCTCTTGTGGATATGCCTGAACAGCACAGCACGTAATGTAAACACTCATTGAGATACATATTTCAAGCAAACTGCCAATCTATTAGGCATGGGAAATCTATGGCCCTACCTTCCTGACAACCTTAGCGGCAGCAGATGCACCTCTGTCAATGAAGTATCCTAGGAATGTTGGATCTGCAACACGGACCTGTATCAAATAAATTAATTATTTAATGACAATAAAAAAGGAAGGCTCCATGAAATAAACTGTATAAAAAACATACTTACCAATACATTATCAACTCCATAGCAATCTACATACTTAACACCTTTTGCAGCCATATCATCGAGCAACCTTTTAGATTTTAGAGCTGGGTGCAGCCAAAGAAAAAAAACAGAAAGTCATGACTAACATTAATAGCATACATTTACGATTTACCACATCATGATTTAGGGGATTACCAGCATATACTCCGCCATTGCCATCGGGAGCCTTTGCTACCTGGTTTTCAGCATAATGTTGCAAAAGAAAGATGACATTACTACAGAGATCCACAATCTGGAATCGTTGCTAGTTCAACCCATTTAGTGTAATGGATTGATGCCATAACATTACACTCTAAATTAATTTCTCTTAAATAAACAGAAACAAGAGGTACCTTATATGGTGTCTCCATAATAAATCTTCCATCATGAGATACACATGGAATAGTACCCTGCTGGAAAAATGTCACCTGCGAAGACACGAATAAAATCAGCTGTAATTCTTATAGTAGTATTTAGGAAATTCATGTATCGAAGTCAAAGAATCTCTGATCAAAACAAAGAATCATGTAATTATTCTTACTTGATTAGGCTCTAAACCAAAATATCTGTGGGTTTCAAAGAACTTTCGGGTCGCTTCATCGGTAAAGGGACTAGTCATTATATACCAGTGAATTGGTACTGTGCTACCTGGGGCTGCAAGTAGTTAAGAACAGTTTTAGCAAAAGAATGTTTAACTAAATCAGACATAAATAAACTAGTAAAAAAGCGATTAAAACTAATTTACCGTCAGTGCATTGAGCAGCCAGCTTCTGAATACACAAAATCCGTTCAGCTTGTAGTTGGAAAAGTGACTTCCTAGATGGAAGCCCGATACCTAAGCGGCAAAGGGAAAGGAAATGAACACTATGAATATTGATTAATAAAAGACTTATGGAGTTTTAGGTGTTCCTCAAAAAGTGATACCATATTCTGGTAGCTAAGTGAACAAACAAATGCAGATGACACATGCAAAATTATTATCCTCACATCGATCACAAGGAATAGAGAACATGGGATGGTATAGTATTGTTGTTCTATGTATAATCTACAACGAGAATAAAAGAAATCTGTAAAGTAGACATTCACCCAAAAAAAATATGTCCCTTTTAGGTCTAATTTCATAGCACTAGTTGAAGAAAGCAAAAGTAAGATTCAATGGCTTGGGTGGAAAGACTTACTGAAACATCCCTTAGGGTCAGAACTGCCAAGCCTAGTCCCCTGTCCACAATTGATATAAAAAACAAATTGCAAAGTATATGAGTGTTTTCCACCATACTGTAGTACGTAACATGGACAACCACATAGCAATCTAAGAGCAACTCCAAGAGACTCTTTATATCCTTCCTAATTTAAAGGAATAGAGATTTTGGTGAAAAATACGCTCCAATGACCTCTTTAATTGGATCTCCAATATAGACATCCTCTATTCCGATTCTTTCTAGCCAAAGATCGAAAGAAAGAATGACTCTCTAGAGTGCAAAAAGATATAGAAAAGCTGTTGGAGGGTACAAAGATATAGAAAGCGATTTATACTCAAATGACTTTACAAATGATGATTTAGATAGTAAATTTTAGAAAGCCTCTTGGAGATGCTCATCTTTCTAAAACTCACTCTCTATATCATCATTTGGAGATCCATTTGCATAAAAATCGCTTTTACGTCTTTTCCACTCTCTAACAACTTTTCTATATCTTGTCAGACTCTAGAGAGTCATTCTCGTTCTCTATCTTTGGCTAGCGAAAATCCGAAATATAGGATGACTATACTTGGATAACCAATTAAAGAAGTTGTTGAAGGGTATTTTTCACCGAGAATCTCTATTCCTAACAATTAGGAACAATATAGAGAGTCTCTTGGAGTTGCACTAAGTGAGTTCTAGAATACCTGGCCACCAGCCAACAAAACAACGGCCAACTTCCCTCTGAAATGGCTCTCAAGCCTCTCCTCCACCACCTTTCTTTGTCCTCAGGAGTTCTGTCGCCCACCGTCGAGACACTTGACTCTGGCACAGGCTCAAAGGTCGGTACAGGAGCACCTGTACTTGCATTAAAACGCCATCAAATATTTGAGCACTCAATGGAACTTATATTGCATACTGAAGCATCGCTAAGTGAAAGCTCACCTTGTGATCTAAGTGAGCATCGAATGATCCGATCAATCCTCGGAAGATCTAGGCTCTGAAATTTGAATCATAAAGGGAAGTCAGCCGCAGTCAATCAGGCAAGTTCAGTGACACCATCGCATTCGCTTCGCATATGAAATAACAATTGAGATCAGTGCTCATTGCTTAAGGGCAACATCAGCTCGATTATGAACATTAGAGCCAAGGATCACACTCCTGCTACATCAAAACAGCTTGACTTTTCATTTATTTCATTCACTATTTTATATGTGACATAAGTTGCATCCTAAATCCTGTCACAACTGCAACGCCAAAATGAATTGTGCCCTCGGGATCAGATTGCAACAGAAAGAACAGATTTTTACAACGAGTCCTTGTTTAAAAACCAAGTTTTTGTGACGAGTCCTTATTTCAACAGAAAGAAGAAATCTTTAGGCAGGCCAAATCTTTATGTGGCTGCTCACCTCAATGTCCCGGATGAGGTGGTCGCGCTCCTCGGGCGCGAGCTCATCCCAGAAGGCGAAGGCGCCCTCCTGGCCGTAGTCCTTGAGCCTCTCCAGCAGCTCCTGCGGCGGCGCCGCGCCCCACCTCCCCGCCGCCGGGGCCGGCGCCCGAGCCGCCACCACCATCTCCGTCATCTCTCAAGCCGCAGCAGCAACCCCACCGAGGAAGAGAGATCACGAGATCTACGACACGACTGGGCAGTGATGATCTACGGCGGGTACGATCCGATCTCGGGGCCGCCGATTAATTAGGACGAGGCTAACTGATTAGCGTCGTGACTCGTGATTGGATCGTGTCAGCGTGGGATGAGGAGACAGGAGAGGTGCTCTGAAGTCTGCAGTGCAGTTCGGTGGTCGGCGTGGCCGGCAGCGGCAGATGCCCATATTCCGTTCCACTAATGCACGGTAGCGGCACTCTAGCATTTCGTTTGTATTTGATAATAATTATTTAACCGTTGACTAATTAGGTTTAAAATGTTCGTCTCATAAAGTACAACCAAATTATATAATTAGTTATTTTTTTACCTATATTTAATATTCCATATATGTGTTCAAAGATTTGATGTGATATGATGTGATGGAGAATCTTACGCTGTATAAACTTTGGAGGTGCAAAGTTGGCGGAACTAAACAAGGGCCCAGAGAATTTTAGAGACGGGTGCTTCTACTTAGGGGCAAAAGGGTCAAACCACCTCTGTGAAGACCACTTGCTCCAGTAGAAAATTACACCTATGGGCTAAGGATCAGATTTTGTTACTCTCTGTCTCATAAAATGTTGAGACACATGTATGGAGTATTAAATATATATTAAAAAATAACTAATTGCACAGTTTGTGACTAATTTGTGAGACGAATCTTTTAAACATAATTAGTTCATGATTTGACAATGTGGTAATGATGGATTAATTAGGTTTAATAAATTCGTCTCGCGGTTACTGACGGATTTTGTAATTTGTTTTTTTATTAGTATCCGAACACCCCCATACGATACCCGATGTTACACCCCAAAACTTTACACCCTGAATTTAAACAAGACCTATGATAATATTTTATTACAATGAAGTCACTGAATCAAAGGCGCGAAATTGAGCTCACCTGTCACCTTCTAGCACGCACGAGAGGTCCAAAGCATTTCAATATACGTATAAATATAGATTAGATTATAAAAGCAAAATAAATTGTTTAAAAGATGTAAAATACTCGTATGCATTTGCATGTGATGTTTTTATCATGTGGAGCATGTATTTTTAATAAGAGTGAGAATATCTATTATAAAAGTTCACACAACCACGATACAAAAGAGTTCCTTTAAGAAAAAATAAAACATCGAGCTACTTAATGTAAAAACAAGAAAAGGAAACGAAAAAAAAGAACCAAAGAGAACAACCAAGTCCATCGATGAAGAAGCTCTTGACACCACACGGGAAACTCAAGCATCTTGAAAACAGTTGAAACCCAAGTAGACACCTCCATGATGGGCTAAGAGAGGGCAACCGGCTCCAAGGTGAAGCACCCAGTTGTTCTACTCCTAGAAGTTCTAAGTGGCCAAGACAAATAATGTGTCCAACATTTTTCTAAGAAATTTTCTAAAGCATTTGGGACCAACAACCTGCCAACCGCAACGGTGCCATCAGTAGTCATTAGCACAATAAGTGATAAGCTGAAATGACCTGGGGAGCAGAACCAAGTCTCCTGACCATAGACGCAACCCTCAAGCAAGTGGTTGATAGTGTATGGATCTTGTTCATATAGGGTGAAGGTATTATCATCTTACATGGCATGCATCTACAATCTCTTTAACATCCAAAGGCGACCTAAGAGAGCCAGCCAAATGAAGAAATAACGCTTTTTGGGTGCCCATGTCTTCAGAAGAAATTTGATCCCTTGAACCTCCAAGCTCCATAGGCCAAAGAAGAGGGAAATTCTTCATAGAAGGCCACTTCCAACGGAAAGTATCCCCTTCCTCGCGATAGTTGGATGTGTTTGAGTCTCCCCCAGAATCTGCATGTATTTTAACAATCCTTAAAGTGACAGAGCATGACTATTTTCTTTGATCCAATGCTAATCAGTCAAGGTTTGTAGATATTTTGGTTGTCCCTAAATTTCAGTAGAATCAAGTTGTGCAAGGCTAGGGTTGTTTTCCAGCAATGATGCTCGATCAAACTAACAATCTGACCAAAATAAAAGCACACTCTCCATCCCTAACATCATGGAGATCAAGGCTCAAACATGGCCTTTGTTGACATCTATCTTGACAAGTAGCACCACCCCAAGTACACAACTTATCGGTGCAGGCCAGTCACAGCCATCCCATATGTAAAAGCCTAGTTGGGCACCCTGAGATTGGAAATACCCCGGCCCGACCCTAAGCTCTTTAGCCAGCATGCCCTTATTCAAGCGACCTCACATTTGCCCTAGAAACAATGTCGTAGTCCAAAGGAACACTTGTAAAAGAAAATGGAGTCGACCACCCGAGGAGAAGGGCCAATGGCAATACCGAGGTAACACAAGGATTGAAAAGAGGTTGGTTGCATGAGGATAAGCCTACCCTCTAATTGAGCAGGCGACCTTTCCATCCTAGAATTCAACTGGTGACTTTATCAACCAGATGCTGGAAGTCATCATTAGAGAGCTTGTGAATTGAAATGGGGTCCCCTCCTAGGTATTTGCAACAGAAATATGCAACCACATGAGGAAAAATCTCCTTAGCCAATTGAATGTTCCAGTACGAGCAGTGGATTGAAAAGAGCTGCGTGATATTGGTTGCCGACCTCCAGGTTCCCTCAAAAAGGAGAAAATTTTCCTTAACGAGGGACGCCATGACTAACAACCTAAACATCTTCAAGAAGACCAATGTCATCGATGTAGAGAGACACCCAATGGTGGACCCTATGAAGCTATGACAATCTGGTGGTACAAGAAGCCCACTCATATCCGCTATGGAGAGCTAAGCTAAGGCATTCCATCACTAAGAGTAAGGGCATAGGGGACAGCAAGTCCTACCGAAGGCTGCGACCATGGCAGATGCGACGACCGAGGGCACCATTGGTGAGGACATTTGATGCTGGTTGTGGACAAAAATGATAAAAAAAATCTAGTATTTTCAAGCCCCTAGGAACCATGTATTGAAGGATGTCCAACAGAATTTTTTTTAAAAAAAAACAAGAAACGAAGTTGAACGCCTTGGCCGATCTATCTTTAGGAGCAGTCGAGTCGACCATTTGGCATAGAGCGCTTAATGGTGTCTTGCAATATCTAAAGTTTACTTTGGTAGGGACCAACCAAGATTGGGAGCGAAGGTGTCAATCTATTAACGAGAATTTTGGAGAAGAATTTTCCAAAGCTATGTTCTATAAATGAGGTTGATAGGTCTATAATCTCCAAGCTCCTTTGGCTCGTCCCTTTTAGTAAGAAAGTTTTTTTTGTGGTGGTGGTGGGGTGTGTGTGTGTGTGGGGGGGGTGGGGGGGCTTTAGAATTCAAGTTGAGTAAGGGTCTGGTGCAAGCCGTAGAGTCTTACCGCTTGTGACCGGAAGGTTCTGGGTTCGAGTCATGGTCTCTTCGCATTGCACATACCGAGGGTAAGCCTTGCAATCGACACTTTCCTTGACCCGCATGCAGTAGCGGGAGCTCTCTGCATTGGGTATGCCCTAAGGCCTCAATGATTCAAGTGATGAATGCATATTCAGTCATATGTTTTCCTAACATATCATTGTAACCTTTCCAAATTAAATGAAACAAAGGGTACTAATGTTTGCAATATAATAGCAGTTGGAATGGCTTTACACCTCCAGGATTAAAAGATGATAAACACATTATCTCATTTTTTTTCTGTTTATTGTGTTTTGTAAGTCTATAATACAACGTGCCCTTGACCATTACCTTTTACGTATTCATTGTTCACAGTTATTTAAAATACTCATTTGAAAGTCATTGTCATGACAAATTTACCAAATGTTATTTTCATGTGACAGTCTTAATAATTTGTATATACGTTGGTCGACGTTTACAAAGCTTCACTAAATGTAGTAAACACCATTCTCTTAGTAACGGAGGGCTATTCAGTAAAATATCAGGTGTTTATTATGGATCGGGAGGGTGCTATTGCTACCCACTAGTACAAAAAGCTGGAACACAGCTTCGTGTATAATACGTGCAAATTCTCAGGCTTCGCGTTGTACTACTATGTACTATCTCTTTGCTATGAAGCATCTACCATTTTTTGTCTAATGTTTCGACACACTCCAGCCAGCAACGGCATATAAGAACAAGGTGCATCATAACTGCAAGCCAAGCCAAAAAAAAAACACTGATTCAAGTAGCCAACCACGAGCCTCAAGATTCAGCAAACACCACACAAACAGCGGATTAGCGCTTCGCAATTCCGCTGAAACATAACTCAACTGTGACAGTGTGGCTACTACATTTGCGTGCTCAAAATGTCCGGAAGAACAGTGCATCTGCACAATAATTAGAGCCACATAGGCCCTGAGGGAGCTTTTTAAGTTAGAAGTAGCTAGTTTACAACGAATAGGTTTATTAGGCAACTGCACAGAAGCAACATATGGAAAACATGATCCAGATCAGCTACTCGACAGTCTCTGTGAAGCCTCGTTGATGGAACCGGACATCATTCAGTCGAGTGTATTAACAGTCTAATAAGGCTAAGAAGCTACTGTCTTTTTACAAAATGTGTCCTCTCGGATTACACATTCAGATCAGAGCGCTAACAAGTGTGCACGACTATTGCTTTGGGTTTTGGCCACTAGCCTTTCCCTCCGATTTGCCTTTTCACAGGTACAAAATGCTATTGCATTTTTTTTCTCCCTACACTGAATTCATTGGGGGAGGGAACCAACTGCCATTGTAGAAATCATCCGGGGTCGGTGGTGGAAGGTTGACATCGACTTGTGTGTGGTTTCTGGAATTATTATCAAATACAGAACCTGCACAATTTGGTGCTTGGCCTTTGTTCAAGTCTTGTTGCTCTGGGAAGTAGTCTGTGACAGCCGTTGTGTCATCCAGAACAGGAATGTCACCTGTAAGGGTCTTAAAAGCAAACTCGATGCAAGGATCTGACCAGATGTTTCCGAAAAGGGATTGAAAGGCCAATCCAGGCTGATCAGAACCTGTTTCA